ACTCAAACATCAGCAGTTCTTAGGTGAATATATGCTGCACTATAAATTAAACTTCACAATAACACTAAAACAATGTAGACCTGGTCAGCTGGCAGAAACCCGAGTCACACGTGACTCTATTAGCTCCAAAATCCATTCATGCAAACCAAAAGGAAATAATTATATTATTATACTATACAATATACAGTCCTTCACATCCATTACAAAAAGAACAGAAGATCAAAATAACATTCTAAAATACTGTGGTTACGTTAAACTGCACAAATAGATATGAAACTGGGTGTCAGCACCATGCTCTTACTTTTTAGCTACAGGCAGGGTGCCCTGGTTACAGGTGTCCAAATGTTCATGTGCGCTCTGAGGTTGTGGAGATAGTCTCTCATCTGAAATGAATTTCTCTGCAATATTTCCTTCTCTTTTCTGTCATTAGACTAAGCAAATTTTCTAGTCTGCTGCCGGGAGTGGGATACCTCTTTACTCGCTGACCACTAACTTGCTTGACATTGACAACGTAACTTCCTGGAACCTATGTTGATAAGACCTCTAAATAATTCAATAACAATCCAATTACAGATAATAGAGAAATAGAAAAGTCAAAATGATTTCCCAAAATATTCATAAGAAAATCATAAATTGTGCAAAGTATTTTAATAGATTACTTTAAAATTTCCCTTTCCACTAGGGGTTGCTGCAGCACCCTCAACAACCCCACTTCCCGCAGCCTTGAAAGGGCAGTTATTATTTCCTGAATAGCTGATTGGCTGATGGAACAAGCATTTTCTAGGATTCAGAATAATCCTTAAAGCGAGCCCACCCCTGAGCAAATTTGCTATTTTGCCATAGTAATTAGCCTTGCTTAAAAGGATTTCAGCTTTGTTGTCGGAACATTTCGATTTCTCTTCTATTACATATTAATTTATCCTATTTACTCACTATAACAGTTTTCACTCTGTTTCACTTTCAAGGCCACACAATTCTCTACAGGATGGTGTTTATAGACCAGACATAGCTTCTTCCCGTAACAAATCAGATTCTTTCTCAAGGTTAATTCATAACATTTTGCTCTTTAACCAAAGTGTTTGTAATTTGTTTTGACTTTGCCTACTTTTGCATTGTTGTAAGTAAGGTGGAACGAACGCTGCTCATGCAGAACAGGGCAGAATGTTGTGCCATAAGGGCTGTATGATGACTGTAATCTCTTTGCAAAGATATGAATAAATGTGCCGACTGAGTGAAATCCATCGATCTCCGTTTATTTAACTAGGATGAATAGTTGAATACTTTTTCCTATGACAGTTACGTCCCAGCTCGGTTCGGTCTCGTCACGGTTTCTAAAGGGTAGTGTAAATGCGGTAACCATCCTAGGGACCTGAACAGTCACTAAACATAATAGACCAGAATACCAGAAGTTTGGGGCCCGGGCTGACATGAATTCAGGATCACAGGAAAATAAAGAGTGATGTTTGCTGCTTGGTCATCCACCTGTCTATTGCGAGAGGATGGGACCAGGAGAGTGAAAACAGGTAGCATGCCATCATGTCTGGCCCCCATCATAATGCTATGTTGAATAATGTGACCAGCAGGGGGTGGGGGGTCTTGTTCTTTTAAACAAGATGCACCAGAACACAGACTAATTGGTACAAAAGTATTTTATTTAGCAAAGTCTATAAAACAATCCTCTTTTAAAACCACGGCTACTTGGTCCCTGGAGAGAAAGTCATGGAAACTAGACAATTTCAATTATTTCAAAAGAAAAGAAAATTAAACAAAACATGCAATGCAAAAGAAAACAAGTTAAAAAATCAAAACAAAAGGCAACAAACAAGTTAGTAATTTAAATAAACAAATTCAAACGGAAAAGTAAAAATAAAAGAAACACTCCAATGATGGAACGAATTGTCGTAGTCGGATTCCAATGGCCTTTCGGTGGGGCCAGAGAGCGATGTCCACCAACCAAGCCTGCCCAAACAGCAACAGAGTTCACAGGGCGCAGCCCAAACGAGCACTGGTAAAACAAGACAGCAGCGCTTCCAACGCTGCAGAGCAAAACAGAAATGCGGCCGGAGCGGGAACCAAATGCAAGCGCCACGCTGCAACAATCCCCAGCTGCAACCACAACGCCAGCAGGCAACGCTGCAGAAACAAACAGCAGGTATAGTACCCAGAACCCAACCATAATCCCAGCACGGATGGCCGAGATGGCACTTATGATCAGAGGTGAGCGATCAACAACACAGCCACTTGGGCAGCAGACGGAGAGCAGGGGAAACAAAGATACACACCTGTCAGCGGCCTGCCCAGCTATAAAGGCATCTGCCAGCCCACCAATCAGTGGTGCTCCTCGTGCTGCACCCGGTACAGAGTGGAGAGGATGGAACACCATCCCACCAAATTCATAATCTATAGGCTTAGATATAACAGAGCTGCTTAGATTATGTCAACTGAGGCCAGGAAGGACGTAGGGGGACTCGGAAGGCATTCAGGATTTAACACCCTTTAAAAAGAAGAAAGAAAAAAAAATCCAACAAAGAATCTGGAATGCTGTTTTTGTGTGCATTACGTAATTATGTGATCTCTTCAAAGATGTGCAGCATTTTTTTTAGGGAGGCTTGTTTGTTACATATTTTGAACAGTATTCACTATAATGGCTCCCGGTAGAATGTTCAGTATTTTCAATCCCAAAGTCAAATTCATGGCTGGTATTTCAAGGATAATGTTTTGAAACTGGTGATCAATCTTACTCTTTAAATGAAGGCGATGGGAAAATGTTAGTCATTTGAGAATTCCATCTATCATTAATGCCAGAATCTGTGTGTCACAAGGCTTTAGAGTAGAGGACTCAAATGCAGACTGCAACACAGTTGGCCTAGGTTTCATGGTACTTTTGATGCAGTCCTGGGGCCAAAAAAACAGATACAGGTCCAAATTCAAGCTGCATTTAAAAACACTCGTCTGGCACAAAGGAGAAAGGACAAAGATAAATTGGCAAATGGAAGCTGCATCAATAAAGACTACAAAGGCCAACAAACAAAGGAGGTTCAGAGGGCTGTACCATGAAGCAGGATTACTGGGTTAGCAAGACAAGTTCATGTTTAACCCTGACTTTCTGGTAACACAAAGCTGGAATCCTTTTAAGCGAGGCTAATTACCATGGTAACATAGCAAACTTGCTCTGAGGTGGGCTGGCTTTCCGGATTGAATCCTAGAAAATGCTCCACCCATCAGCCAATCAGCTATAATTGCCCTTTCACGGCTGGGGGAAGTGGGGTTGTTTAGGGTGCTGCAGCGACCCCTAGTGGCAAGAGGGAGATTTTAAAGTGATTTATTACAAATACCTTACACAATTTATAATTTTCATATGAATATTTTGGGAAATCAAACTCCCAGGCCTCTGTTAGAGGACCCGAGCTTGAGGGCGACACATACCACCCCACAAGGGGTGAGAAAATAATTGTATTTATATATATATATATATATATATATATATATATACATATATATATATATATATATAATTTCAAGTTTTTTGTTTCACAAACAAGACATTTTTCTTTGTCAAACATAAGTTTATTTTCAAACCTTTTGTATTTTTCAAACAAATACTCCCTGGCAATTCCTCAGGTTGAAGCCAGACACAGCGTTGTGTAATTTGTTGACTCTAGGAGGCGCTGGCATGGTGATGACTCTCTTGAGATAGCAGCGCCGCCTGCAGCAGTATGGGCAGAAAAAACTTGTTCAGTTACAACATTACAACATTAGCGAGTGTTACATTTTCCACTCTTTTTCATAGGTTTGATAGAATTTGTGTTATAGCATTTTAGAAAAACAGTGTACCAATATGCACTGTCAGAGAAGGTTTGATCCACGTAGGTGAAGAACTGACAGGTGGCGTCTTCATCACATTTCCTCTGACAGAGCTCTGCATCATCCATCAACTCTTTTTCAAAGTCAGAGCCCCGGAAATCAACACCTTGGTAAAGCTGCTTGACCCAGTCTGTTAGGAAAGATGTCAAATAAATGTTGTTGAAGTTACTTTCCCCACATAAGTCTACAGCTCAAGCATAAAGTCCACAGAATGTTGGCCATTCCCATGGGGCTGCAATGATTTCCCCCAATTCGGCACACAGTAACAGACGTAGAAGATTAATCTCAGATAGTGCACGATATGTTATATACTAAAGAAATAGGTCACTAGTTCCACACTGGGTGGAAGTGAATAAAAAGTAAAAGGAATGAAATTTAAGCTTGTCACATATGCATTATCTGTTGCCTACAAGAGAAAAAGGAATGCCTAGTGAATACTATATGGTTTAGCTCAGAAAAAAAGAGATTACTTCAGTTTCAAAGCAACAAAAGACAAAACACTATTTAGACATAAAATCTGTTAATTGCACAACTAACCCATGTAGAATCTGTTTATTCATTTTTATAATCTGAATCCAACAAAGAAAATACCACAACTGTTTCTAACTTCATTTAGGCTCTGAGGGAACAACAGTTTTATGAGGAACAACCACAAAAAATTAAAATAAATAACCCAGCAGCAGCTTAGTAATGTTTTTGGATGAATATTTTCTATGAATCCAGAAATCATAGCAGTAACCGTTATCATTATATTAGCCTAAGTCATGAACTGTTTGCTGATATGATTATGAATATTATATTAAAACTGTATTTTCCAAATAACCTTAAAACTTTAAATGTTTATCATAACTCATCCCATTAGATAAAAGATATGGGTGTAAGAAATAGCATTCACACTATTTATAAATGAATGCTTGAAATACTGTTTATATTTAATTAAGAGTTATTCATCTATTTTAGTGATAACAACTGAATAAAAAGTAATTGGGAAATGTTTTTTGCCTTAATTCATACATATGAAAAAACTCTTGATTTAGATTAAGAAGTCGTGTTTTACTGCATTCAACACACTGCAAAAAAAGTTTCCTTCACCTTGATCACCACTGTAATTAATGCTATATTTATTATATTTAACTTAGTAAAAATCTAGTTTAGAAATTGGAAAAGCGATTCTTGGAAACGAGGACTCTGGCTATCCTGTTAAAGAATAAAGTCGTTATAGGTACCAGATCTTTTCGGGGCCCTCTCCCTGCAGATGATGTCACAATATGACAACAGCACTCGAACAGACTGAATTGGTCCCGTTTCATATGAATCAAATCTTTCCTGAGGTCTCTGTTTATCATCACCTTTATTTACACTTATTTTACATTTATTTAGGTGACCTTAAGTAACCGAAAGTAGAAAAGAGTTACTCAGTTATTGTTTTCTAAGACAGACTAAGGTTTGCCATTTAAAAACGAAAGGTTTCAATACTTGCTTTTATTAAGATCTGAAGGCAGGAGAGGATAAGTGCAACATCTAACCCTAGCTGTTAATGTAGACTTGGTGTTGACATGAAGTTAAAACTGATTTAAAGGAGTTTAACCTGTTGAGCTAATGACCGTTTCTCAATATGTGTACTTTGCTTGTCACTACCTGATCCGTCCCGGAAGCACGATCCATTCCACGAATGCGCCATCAGCTCATTTGCATCCAGATATACGTCCAGCTCGTCCTCAATTTTATTTAATTCAAAATACCTAAATGACGTTTTTCCTTCCCAAAAAATAGTAAATATACTAAAATATAATAGAATCCTTTCTGTTTTATCACTAGTCTCTGCCCGATCTGCACCAGAAATGGGATCCTACGCTACTTCCGGTTGGCTAACGTTTTCGGCTTTGGATTTAAACATAAATCTATTCCTTTTGAGTTTTATGTTTTCGTTTTGTTTTAACCTTATTTTACATAGTGTGTAATCTCAAGAAAGAAACAACTAAAATGCAGATAATCATTGTTTAATCATATTTGCCGGACTGCTTTGAGCATGTCCCATGATGACGTCAGAGAAGCAGTTTAACGAAAAAAATTTTAAAAACCATAAAAATTGTCTCACAAAATTCATAAAATATTTTGTAAAGATGTGTATTAGCATTCTTTGGTGAGTGAAGGATAGAAATAAGTAGTTTTAGTATCATATTTACAGTATTTATGGACACCCGGATGTACATCTATATGCACATGCACAGGATGTGCTTCCGGGACGGATCAGGTAGTGACAGGGCTTTCTCATGTGCTCTTGAAACGTCATCAGCCTCAGCCCTGTACTGTTCCATTTCACAAGAACAGAAGAGCGAGAACTGACATATTCCCCGGATGTTGTTTCGGCCCTCCCTCTTTACTGGGCATGCATCAGAGTAGACCCTTGTTCTTGAGATTGACAGCTGCCTGCCCCAGCATGCACTGCAGCAGCAGCAGCTTCCAGTGAAGTGCTCAAAGTGTATCAAGCTAAAAGTTCTCTTTTCTGTTGCCGTTGTTCTATAAAAAAATGTTTTAAGATCATTTGAGGCGAGAACATTATACTTTTAAGCATCACTATATGGTACTATATCAAGCGTCACTTGATAAACGACCAATCACATTCTCTTCATTCACTTGTGTAAAGTCGTGCAACACTCGGGAGAATTCGGAACTGCAACGGTTGAAACAGGGGGTGGGGGTTAAGAGCGGGGGATCCAAGAGGAAAAAGGGTCCCAGCATTCTCGCGTCCTGTCTGCGCCACTGTCTGAAATCACCTACAATTTTGGAGAGGTGCAGCAGAGTGTCTGCGTAAGGGGCACATTTGTGTTCTCTGCGACACACATGTAGATGACCTGGTTTCTGAGAATAAACCAGCCTTAAGAATAAATCTGGCTGTCAAAAGCCACACTGGTTCACTAGCTCCCAACTCAGCACATGGACACTATGTTGTTATAAATGTCAGGGCCAACCACAATATGTTTTATATGTCATTCTGGAAACGTTCAGACAATCATAGCGTGCAACATCACCGACATGCGCAGGGCCTGAGCAGATCTTACCAACTAAGCAGATCTGGTACCTACACCATCAGTGATGGTCTGGATTTTACTTCAGTGCCTCTAGTTGCAGTAAAAATATGAAAAAATCCTTCCAGGGCCTCTGTAGGTAAGACATCTAGCTCACATGGCTGATAATTATTTAAACCAGAAAGCAATGCAAAATGTGTTCTTGTAAGCTTTTGTGTTAATCAGTGATACCTACTATCATCAAGCTGACAGAAGCGTGCAGGTATTCCTGATGTGGTTCCTTTTTTTGGTTTAGCTGTCAAGACTCTTTGATTATTCTTTAAATAACAACTAAAGTCGTCACTGTAGAAATACAAAGAAACAAAGAAAGAAAAACAAATGTCTTTTTAAATAAATCAATTGGGACAGCTAAGATAAAAGTATGATTATTATTACCTGCTGAAAGAGAAGTAGGTGCACTGTGGGTTAGCAGAACACAGGACCTGACAGTGTTCAGGAGAAACAGACTTCAGCTTCTCAATGTTGCTTCCTGGGATATCAGTGTTTGGAAAGAGCTGTTGCTGACATGCTGTAAAAGACACATACAGAACAATTACAAAAGAAAGATGGAAACTTCAACATTACACAATTCCCGAAGGGCCTTTTCTAAAACTGGCTTAGTTTTTAAATCAGAGTTAGTCGGCTAAGTATGGCTTATTTAGTTGTCATGTGTTGTTTCATAATGCAGGTTACCAGAGGATGACTCAGGTACTATGGCAACTGACTCGGTGAACTTAACCTGGTCTGTATACACAAGTTATAACTTACAACTGTAATAAAAAAGTTAAACACAATTTTATCTTTCACTTAAGCAAATACATATACCTTTTTTGTTTTCTGAAAATGATTTTTGGAGCGTTAAACAGCATCCCATTTTTTCATAGATCAAAATGACCTGTTTGTCTTCTCGTTCACACACCTACATGAACATCACCTTTTTCCTTAATGAACTCTTAATCGACTGCACGGCCTGTTTATGTGAGTGGCAAAACTGATTGGCTGAACATGCCTTGAATCAATTAAATTCAGCAAGTGAAGCATGCTTGAGGTGAAACCAAGTAACTCTGATTGACACATGGGTTGGGTCAGAAGTTGGTGTCTAAATCAAATTTTTAGAGCAAGTTTAATGAAATACCAACCAGAAGTTTACTTGTGATTTGCTTACTTGTGGGGAATTCTTGAGTCTGTTTAGTTTTTAGGGCAAATCCAGATGTGACTCCAGTCTTTTTTTCTACGATAGGAGTCCTTGGGATGTTCCAGCTGAATTTAAGGTGACACTTGTACCTATAAGATATAGATAATATATATATAT